GACAATATTTGGAGAGAGGAAAATTTGCAAAACGTGAAGGTTTTTCGCCCGTTCTCGCCCACCCCTGGAATGGACGGAGTGAAGGCAACGATTAACTTTGTCTATAATATGTTTGTAATGACTGTTTGGCAAGAGAGAAAAATTAACTAATGGAAAAATAGTTTCTGATAACGAAATGTTATTTCAAAATCTTCTTTCCAGTATTCCTTTTTTCTGCCTCCCTCCATTAATCAAAAAACCTACTTAAAAAGTAAATTTAAAATAGTTGGCATATTTTTCGAAATTCCGTTTTCAATTTAATCTGTTCTGACCCCCCCCCCCATTCTCTCCCAAAATAATTTCCTTTTGTCATTTCCTGAATTTTCCGTTGTGATCAATGTTATTCTCAAAAAAAACCAAGTTTTCAGGACCAGACAATAAATCATCGGTTCCCACAGACTCTGACCACACACTCGAAAGCTTTTCTCCAAGATTCTTGACTCAATGAGTGATTACCAGTTCTCATTAACTACGGAGAGTTTGGTAGAGCAAATTTTCATTGCTCAGCTCATTCTTACAGTACCCGGAATCCTGATTAACCTTCTCCATGTATATATCCTATGCCACGTGTCTTTAAGAACTTCCAGCACGAATTCTATACTAATCGGTATTGGAATTGTTGATTTATTGGTGCTATCAGTATTCTTACATGATCGAATACGGCAATTTTGGTTTCCAGCTTGTTCAGAAATCTCTAGACAGTCAAAATGGACCGACGATTTACAAAGAGATATTCTAAAACAGACTTCCTTCTGGTTAGGGGTTTCTTTGGCGTTGATAAGGCTACTGATTATGAAATTTCCTAATAATAATCAATTAATTTCTAGTCCGAAATCTGGATATTTTATTGTTCGGCTAATGTATTTAGTATGTTTTGTTTTATCTATTTTATTTTATTTTTCCGAACAAAACTCAGATTGTACGATTTCTTCTAATAGTCTAGAAGAGCAACTTCATTTCCTTGAACTTATCAGTGCAAGCTCTCAAATATTGATAAGCCTTATCTATCCAATACTGGCTATCCTTTTGATTTGTGTTATTTGGAAATCCACAAATACTGTACTTTTCACAGTCAGCAAGACAAGTTCTGTGGAGAGGTAAATCTTCTTTCAACTTTGCCCCAATTAATCTTGGCTCCTGTATGATATCTAAAAATAATCAACTGATAACATTTGATAAATATTTTGCTAGTTTATCACTTTTGAATATCTCTGACAGGAATCGAGATAAATTGAGTTTAACAAAATGATCTAACAAAAACTTTGATGTTTTCAATGGGAAACAGTCAATTTTGTAGTGCTAAAAACAGTTGAAAATTTTTCGATTTGTCTAAAAATTTCAGAGCATACTAAACACAAAATGGCATATTATCATGTATTTTAATGTTTTTTTCCTTTTTTTTCCACGATTCTTGCAATCGTAAATAAATAAATAAATAAATAAATAGATAAATAAAGTTTGAAAAAAAAAATTTCAGACACCGCTTGGCGAAAATGATACTAATCATGACCCTGATTTATTTTATATGCAGTGCACCATGTGGTTTTTTGGACTTCTGCCAACTTGTATTCCCTGGAAATCTAACTTTGGAAATACTATGGTCCCATGAGAATGTGCTGACTTCTTTGCTGTTCTGCCTGAACGCAATGTCACATTTTCTTCTGAACTTTTCAATGGCTTCCAAGTATCGGGAAACTGCGAAAAATATCTTCTGCTCGAGAAAGAAACATCATTTTGAAGTCACCGTTACGAAAACATCGACAGTTCGGAAATAATTTTTTTTCTAATTTTATAATGATTCGGGTCGATCAGGTTATTCAAAAGAATGAATAAAGACAAAATAGGACATTCCAAACGTGTTTTTAAAGGAGGCCAGACATCAAAAAAAGCTTTATTGATATTTTGCCTAGAGAACCCCATGAGGGGTTGAACTCATGACATCCAGCTCAGGGGTACATCGCTGTCTCGCATCCTTGAAAATGATTTTTACATGAGTGGATTCAGAAAAAAAATAGGGCATTCCGAACGTGTTTCCAAAATTAAAAATATAAAAAGTTGACCTAGATATTCACAAAAATCCAAAAAATGGCGACGTGAAAATAAGATTTATATCAATGGATTCAGAAAAATCAAGGCATTTCAAACGTTTTTTCAAATTCATAAAAATTCATTTTCAGACTGAGATATTCACAAAAATCTTAAATTTAAAAATGACAACGTGAATAATTTTACATAATTTTCATATGTATTGATGAATAAAAAATCTCTTTATACTGTCTCTGTTATAGTTTTCAATTTAAAAGTGTTTTCGCAACTTGAGAATGTTATCATTCTTTTACTATCCACTTGTTTTGTGTTTCTCTTGATCACTAAATTGATAAACAGAAGAGGAGTAGTAGAGAATGAATTTACATTCAGTTTCTATACTCGAAACTACAGTAATTTGATAAAAGTGTTTTCAATTTTATTTCAAATATTTAACGTTTTTCTTGACTGGAAGCACATATGACTTAAAAATACATACTGTTGAGCTTTAGGTTTTTTAAAAGTCGACTTGCAGATCACAGAGTGTGTAGGTCTATACCGGCTGAGCCTGTTGTGGAAATTATGAAATGGTCACTTGAAATTAGATTAACTAGGGTTGCATTACCAAAAAGTGACACATAATGATAAGTAGAAAAAACTAAGGAAGAAGACACCATAGATAAACCTGTTTAGTGAATTGCTGAGGAATAGAATAGATCAAAGAAGAAGAAGAAGATGAAGAAAAATTCATATAAAAAGTGTCTTCGAATTTCGATTTTAACATTGTTTCTTCTGTCTTTTTTAATGTTCATTTTGAAATTCAATTTTCGCGATTCCCAAGGAGAATAGCCTTTTAGAGGAATTCTTTGTTATTCGTTGATAAATTTTCATAAATACATAGCTCTTATCAATTACTTTTTGCAGACTAACCATGGGAAATATGAGCAACAAACAAGTTGCCAATGGCAATACCCTTCATATAAATATGAAACAATCTCAAGCACTCAAAGAGAACCCAAATGTCCATCGAAAATCGGATGAGTTTGGCGGAAAATCACCTTGCCAAGTAGCACAGTTAGCTCTTGCTGCGCCTGAAGAGGACACCTTTGATTTAATCATTCGTTTCGTTCGTGTGAGCACCGCCGATGAAATCTCAAGAGTTTGCGATGTGAGTGGCCTTCCGGTTCAAGCCAAAAATGAGGCGATTTTGGAATTCCATAATGGAAACTTGGATCGATGTGCCTCTATTCTGACAGAAGCGGCTAAACAGAAACAGCGGGAGAGCACAAGAGAACTATCTGGAGATGCCGGTGGCAAGCGTATGATCAAATCGGATCATGGAACTTATTTAAGGTTAGTGCCATTTTTGAGAAAAATACCGTAAAACCTGTAATATGAGAGCCCCCACACCGTCCAGTTTGAGCTCAATTATCTCAATTCTTATACAAGATATCAAACATGTGTTAACAGTCAAAATGTTATTGATATCGTAATAAAAATTTTATAAGTTAACAACTTTTTTGTATCTTTGACAGGAACCGAGATAAATTGGCTCAAAGTTCGAAGTTAGGATACACTTCTATTACAGGTTTTACGATACTTGCATTTCTTTGAAGAAATGTATCACAACTTATCTCACTCCGTCTTCTTGACTAAAAGTTTTCTCATAAAAATAATATTAATTCAGAGCCTATGACGGAGAGTGGAAGGTCGATTTGATGCGCGGTAATCCAGATGCATGGGAGCATTGGTATGTCGAGGATTGGGGTTGCAAGGTGAGGAAGTTAGTTTTGGCAACAATCTTACCATTCGACATTCAGGTGGTATTCAAGGCAATTCATTCTCCAGGACGCTTCCTACGTGCGTTGTCTTGTGGGAACGTCGATCTCGTTCCGACGCATCCAAATGGGTGTCCTGAGTTGTTGTGGAAACCATTTAAGAATCCAGATGGCACTTGGTCGTTCCTGAGTACCTATGGAACATGGTTGAGGTTTGTTAGTGTTAGGTGGCTTGGATCTTTCTGAGAAATAGTGATAATGAGAAAAGTTACTATGAAAGACGCAGAAAAGTTTCAATAACTTGTTCTTTATTTTAGGGACCATGTTTGCAAATGAAATCTATTTTTTATGAATCTGTCAGGAATATTAAATTTCAGCGGCCATGAAAACGGCTCGGTTTGTTGTCAGTGGGAATGCAAGTCGTGGGAGAAATTCAACCTTCCGTGGTGGTGAAAAATTAAATTTTTGACAATTTATCGTCCTATTGAATTGTTGGTGCCAGTCTTTAATTTGCATACAAAATTCGCAGAAATTAAAGTTATGTACCTAATAAATTGTTAATTCAACTGAAAAAAGCATTCATCAAAAAACAAAGAACGATGTTATATCATTATGAATACTTGCACTTTGTGCTCAATTGTCTCGGTTGCTTTGAGAGATATCAAAAGTTTGTCCACTGATAAAATACTTGTCATATTATCACAAACATTTTATCAGTTGAAAAAAATTGATATATTTTTAAGGAACTGTGATAGTTGATTACAAAGTGCAAGTGTTATGGGGGCGGCGTAGTGCAAGAAGAAATGTCAAAAACATATTTTTCCAAAAAACAACAATTAAATCTTCGAATAAAAAAACAGATTCCAAATGAATAAAAATTCAAACCAAATCCGCAAACAAAAAATTTTGTTTTTGAAAAATTTTCTCGCGGTAGATCAAAGATCTATTTTTTGACATTTCCTTTTCGTGGGAAAAAAAACACATTGATTGAAAAAGTGTTTTCTTCTCGCATTTATTTCGTCACTTCGTACTTTTTTATTGTTTTTTGTTCGGTTGTTACTTGTTTTTTTTTGTAAAGTTTACGGTTTTCAGTTAGCAGAAACCTGTAATAGAAGAGCCCATCCTATAAAACTTTGTGCCCATATATCTTATTTCCTGTGTGAGCTATCAAAAAATGGTCAACTGACAAAATGTTTATTATAATATTAGTAACATTTTATTAGTTTATTTGTTTTTGATAACTTTGACAGGAAGCGAGATAAAGTAGGTTAATGTTGAATAGCCCTCTTCTAGCAAGATTTTGTTTTCCCCTTTATTTTGGTATTTTTTTTCAAAATTTTCGAGTTTTTTTAACTCCCAGTTTGCGAATTTCTGAGTTTAAAATTTTCAGAAATGGCCGATCCTCCACCACCACCACCACCGTCAAACAAGTCATATCTGACAGCTCCAGCTCTTCCGAGTACCGAAGTCTTCTACCACGCCTATCTTCCCTCGGATCACTGGGACTTGGTGGTCTTCAGAAATGGCGAACCGTGTTGTAATAACGAGGACATCAGATTCAATTACTACGGTGGATGGGCCTCATTGTTTGCTCAAGTTGACAAGTTTCGCAGCTTTCCCGGAAGCCTGAATCAGTATCGAGCCGAATTGTCCACTATTTATCCATGGGTGAGTGAATTTTAGAATTTTGGAAGCTCAAAAAACTTTTTTCTGTTTCGGTTTTCCCATTGAATTGCTTTTGAAATGCTCTTTATTCTATTATAATATCAAGAAAAAATCACAATCAATACTTTCTTGGATCGAAGTTCAAATCAAAGTTTGTCGCATAACTAATATCCGCAAAGACCTTATCCAAGTGATCGTACAAATCGCTCATTGCATGAGCTCCTCTCTCCAGTCCCACTTTTTGATCAGTGCTGCAGTCAGTACCTTCCAGAACCTTTTTGACACATGGGACCACGGTGGACGAAAATCCTTTTGGGAACTGGAACTCTTTGAAAAAGACGACGCAGTTTCCAAGTGATTTAGATATTTCTTCCTGGAAAGGGATTCTTTAACTGGAGCCCTTTAAAGTATAGAGTTCAGAAGTTTAGAACTTACATCTTCAATGCACTCTTGGGCTTCTAAAACTCGGTCCGTATAGAAATCCGTCGTGTCTAATTGAAACTTGGTCAGCTTCAATTGTCCCTTACATTCCAAATCACCAATACATTTCAATGATTTTTTGAATTCCCTTGCAACTGGTGACCCTAACGGAGAAACAGTGGAGCTAATCTCGACCAGCATCTTTTGTGCTTCGACTTTGGTGGCCTGAAATTGATAAAAATTGAAATCTACTTTTTACAAACCAACTCACATTGACGAAAATTTCGATACAGAATCTGAATCTCTCTTGCTCAGCTTCACAAAGCTTTTCAACGTTTTCATCCATATAAAGACAAGCGGCAAAGTTCAAAAGAACAGTTGAGAGAATGAGCAATTTCAACATTTTGAAACTATACTTTTCCCTATGCTCAGGTTGAATTTTATATCAAAAGTACAGAAAACAAAGCACATCATTTTCAAAACATCTAGGAAAATATAGGAATCAGGATATCAGCATCCATACTATTTTCAGCTGTGATATCATTTTTTTTTTCGAGCAAAGAAATCGCAGAATCTAGGAATATAGGAATCTCTGAACCTAGGAATCTCAAATCTCGAAATCTACCTATCCAGAATTTTTCCGAATTCCAGGTCATGCCAAAAATCTACAACAGTTTGAAAGGAGGTCACTCGTACATCTACAAACACGACATTCTCCTACTAATGCAATACAATCTGATGGACGGCCATCTTCAGGCGAATGAGAAGAATTTTCCGATTATGGCAATCACTGCGATTTACATGAGAACCAAAGAAGAGGCACTGAATGACAAATGCGAGTTGGTTCGTTATGATAAGGAGAAGTTTGAGGAGCTCAAAAATCGGCTGGAATCAAAAACGAGTAACATGACTCAACACAATCGTAAGCACAGATTGATCAAAAAGACGTTGGATGAAGTTTTTGAAAAAGTTAAAAAGCTATTGCCAGTGAACAGTCATGATCCGGAATTCACAGGACTCCGCAAGCATCTTCAAAAGTTCCATCAGCAAACTCCAGTGTCACAGAATGTCAAATATTTTGAGAATCTTGTCAATGTGATAGACATTATTTTGACGGATTTCGATGCGTTTATTGATGCCAACCCATCTTTGTTCCGTAATGGAAATGATGATAAGGAGACGCTAGTGGTTCGATTATTTGATGAAGTTAAGTGTAAGCATGTCTTTGGCTACGAGCTTATGGAAGAGTTGCAACGATGCGGATGTAATACTGTGAAACTTGAAGAGGCGATTCAGGCAAAGGATCCAACATATAGTCTGTTGTTCCAAGATGTGTTCAAGTTGCTCGATGGGAATCCGAATATTCATGTGAGTTACAGTAACGCATGCGCGCCCGTGAAGCCTGTGATAGAAGGGCCCCTGACATTGAAGTGTGAGCCAATTTTTCTCGGTTCCTGTCAAAGATATCAAAAAATAGTCAACTTATAAATTGTTGATCACAATATCAGAAGTACGACTATTTTTACGGCTCCGGGACGTTTCAGAGCCCGACGTTTCGGAACCACGACGATTCAGAACTACGACGTTTCAGAACCCGACGTTTCAGAACTTTTCTGCATTTTTGCATAGTGGTTTTTGTACATAAAATGAGCATTGCTCATTTCAATTTGTCGTTTTTCTGTTTTCTTATTCGTTCTCATCTACCGTACTCCAAATAATTATAGATGCACATTCGGAAACTCTCAAAATTGAAAAAATTGGAATTTTCAAAAAATGATGTCTAAAAGTACGAAAAAAAATTTAGCCGGAGAATATGAGTTTCATTTTTGCATACGTTCAGCAATGACACTGTTTTTGAAAATATAAACTTTTTTCGATTTTCGAGAGTTTCCGAGTGTGAACCTATCATTATTTGGAGTACGGTAGAGGAGAACGAATAAAAAAAACAAAAAAACAACAAATTGAAATGAGCAATACTCATCTTATGTACAAAAACCACTATGAAAAAATGCAGAAAAGTTCTGAAACGTCAGGTTCCGAAATGTCGGGTTCTGAAACGTCGTAGTTCTGAAACGTCCTGTTTCCGAAACGTTCTGAAACGTCTCGGAGCTATTTTTACGAAAAAGGTAAGGTACTCGAGAATTTGTCAAATTGCTTCTGTTAATTTGAAACCTCAGAAGTTTTGAAAATTCGAATTCTTGAAAGTATTTAAATCCTGAAAAATGAAGTATTTCAGTTCATCGCCATTCCACTCCCACGAACTCGAAAACGGGCCGTCTGGGTTCCAGCCATAGACGGGCACTACTGTATTTCGGCTCGTGATCTTGTCTTTGAATTTGTCGCCTGGACAGTTGTCAAAGGATTATTCCAAGGAGCATCCGATGAGCAGAGAGACAATTTGATGGGGATCCTCAAAGGTCTTCGGTACCTTCTGGATGGCTACAATGTGAGTTTTTGAGAGCTACAGTACCGGTCAGTAGGAAAAAGAAATCGTTTTCAGAACGGCTATCGAATGGTGCTGGAAGCGGATGTCAAGCGAATTCGGAAGCAAATTGTGGACAAGTGCAAAGCGCATGGAATTGCTCAGCCGGAGCATTTCAAGGATATTCGAAGAGTGATCTATTGTGACACCACTGAAGACGGTCTGAAGGCTGAATTGAAATATCTTGGAGTGGATAAAGTGTTTCCGGAGATTCTAGAACTTGCTGACGATGTTTACACAAAACCCGAACTGAAGGCACTACGAGAAACTGATCCTTACCAAACTGTAGAAAATTGTCAAATTCAGTGTATTATTAATCGCGCCGGGGTGAGACATTCATTGATTTTTTTTTGTTTGTATTTAATGTTGCTAATTTTCAGTTCACCGAATTCTTTGTCCACAGCACGACCTGGTTCGTTCGTTGAATGGGAAAATGTCTGGAATCGCTAATTTTTTTGGAATTTAATTTATTTTTTACACAATTTACCTCTCGATACTTGTCAATAGAATGAAATGAGATCTCATACTGTTGTTTTCTTGTTTTCAAAAACTGAGAATCTCAGAATCCCAGAATCTCAGAATCTCAGAATCTCAGAATCTCAGAATCTCAGAATCCTTCAGAATTACAGAATCTCAGAATATGAGAATCAGAAATTTGAAAATTTTAAGTTTTTTAAGTCTCAGAATCTCAGAATCTCAGAATCTCAGAACCTCGGAATCTCAGAATCCAAGAATGGGAAAATCGGAGAGTCTCAGAATCTTGCAATCTTAGAATTTCAAGTTCTCAGAATCTGAGAATCTGGGAATTTCAGAATCTCAGAACACATTTTTTTCTGATTCATTTTTTCTGAATTTTTTCTTATTTTTGAATCTTCAGATTCTTCAATTTTCAGGTTTTCTGAGATCCTGAGATTCATAATAAAATACTGGAAAAATATACTGTATGTTTAAAAGAATGATATCACAGCTGAAAATAGTATGGATGCTGATATCCTGATTCCTATATTTTCCTAGATGTTTTGAAAATGATGTGCTTTGTTTTCTGTACTTTTGATATAAAATTCAACCTGAGCATAGGGAAAAGTATAGTTTCAAAATGTTGAAATTGCTCATTCTCTCAACTGTTCTTTTGAACTTTGCCGCTTGTCTTTATATGGATGAAAACGTTGAAAAGCTTTGTGAAGCTGAGCAAGAGAGATTCAGATTCTGTATCGGAACTTTCGCCAATGTGAGTTGATTCAGAAAAATTTATACTGTTTAATTTTCCAAAAATTCAGACAACCGAAGATCTGGTTGAAGCACAAAAGATACTGGTCGAGACCAGTTCCACGGTTTCTCCGTTAGGGTCACAAGGAAATGGGAAATTCAAGAAATTTTTGAAATGTATTGGTGATTTGGAATGTAAGGGACAATTGAAGCTGACCAAGTTTCAATTAGACACGACGGATTTCTATACGGACCGAGTTTTAGAAGCCCAAGAGTGCATTGAAGATGTAAGTTCTAAACTTCTGAACTCTATACTTTAAAGGGCTCCAGTTAAAGAATCCCTTTCCAGGAAGAAATATCTAAATCACTTGGAAACTGCGTCGTCCCTTTCAAAGGGTTCCCGTTCCCAAAAGGATTTTCGTCCACCGTGGTCCCATGTGTCAAAAAGGTTCTGGAAGGTACTGACTGCAGCACTGATCAAAAAGTGGGACTGGAGAGAGGAGCTCATGCAATGAGCGATTTGTACGATCACTTGGATAAGGTCTTTGCGGATATTAGTTATGCGACAAACTTTGATTTGAACTTCGATCCAAGAAAGTATTGATTGTGATTTTTTCTTGATATTATAATTGAATAAAGAGCATTTCAAAAGAAATTTTTTGTATGTTTTTTTTATGGATAACCGGTACAGAATTAGATAGAGAATGGAATTCTGGGATTCTGAGATTCTGAGATTCTGAGACTCTGAGATTCTGAGATTCTGAGATTCTGAGATTCTCCGATTCTCAGATTCGCAGACTCTGAAAATCAGATTTTGAAAAAAATCAGATTCTGAAAATCTGAGAATCTGGAAATCTGAAAATCTGAAAATCTGAGATTCTGAGACCCGGAGATTCTGAGATTCTGAGATTCTAAGATTGCAAGATTCTTAGACTCTCCGATTCTCACATCCTTGGATTCTGAGATTCCGAGGTTCTGAGATTCTGAGATTCTGAGATTCAGAGATTCTGAGACTTAAAAAACTCAAAATTTTCAAATTTCTGATTCTCATCATCTGAGATTCTGTAATTCTGAAAGATTCTGAGACTCTGAGACTCTGAGATTCTGAAATTCTGATACACTGAAAATCTGAGATTTTGAGATTCTGCGATTCTGAGATTCTGAGATTCTGAGATCCCGAGATTCTGAGATTCTGAGATTCTGAGATTCCGAGATTCTGAGATTCTAATATATCCCGATTCCTAGATTTTCCGATTCTGAAATTCTGAAAATCTGAGATTCTGAGATTCTGAGATTCTGAGATTCTGAGATTCTGTGATTCTGAGAATCTGAAAATCTGAGATTCTGAGATTCTGAGATTTTGTGATTCTGAGATTCTGAGATTCCGAGATTCTGAGATTCTGATATTCTCAGCTTCTGAAAACAAGAAAACAACAGTATGAGATCTCATTTCATTCAATTGACAAGTATCGAGAGGTAAAATCTGCTTTTCAGAAATTCCGCGGTTCTTAAATTTTCAGATACTTAAATTTTTCGAATTCAAAATTTCCAGATTCCTAGCTTTTCCGATTTTGAAACTCTGAGATTCTGAGTTTCCAAGACTTTGACAGCCTGTACTCTGTACTGTACTCTGTCTGTAAATTCGTATGTCCCATTTCTGATGTATTCAATCCCACCTATTTTTCCGAGAGGTTTCGGATAAACATTCCGAATTTCGTAACATTGTTTTGACCACTTATCATTCTTCGTTTGATGACTGGTCATTCGAGCTTTTTTCTGCCACGTCATCATCTTTTTTCTCTAGGTCTCCTCTCTTGTCATACAGTCTTTTTTTTTTCGATGGACGTCCTCTCCACACACTCTTTCAATTTCTCTATTTCTTTTTTTTTCTCGGAGAAAACAGCCCGCATAAAAGCCTGGTCATTTCCTCATATTTCTCAGTTTTTAAAGCAGAAAATTGTTCCTCGAAGTTTATTTTGTTTCTGATCATCTTTTCTTTCTTTTTTTATGATTTTAGCTGATAGACATCTTGATATACAGACATTCGGATAGATCCTCTCTCTCACTCTCTCCGTACTGAAAGACATCTGGATATACAGACACTCGGGACAGCCTCTCGCACTTTCTCTCTCTCACTCGCCTTCTCCAAGTCACCGTTACTCACATACTGTTAGTTACAGTACGAGCACAACCGAACTTGAAGCCTTCGCTTCCGACGTCGCCGCTACCACGAACCCAATCGTGATGATCGAGATGGTCCCGGTCAACAAGAAATATCTCCCAAGCAAGCACCAAGATCTTCTTCTGAAATCCTGAAATTCTGACATTCTGAAAGGTTCAGATTCTGCTTTTCAAATATTCCGTGGTTCTTAAATTTTCAGATACTTACATTTTCCGATATTAAAATTTCCAGATTCCTAGTTTTTCCTATTCTGAAACTCTGAGATTCTGAGTTCCCAACACTTCGACAGCCTGTATAACTCTGTCTGTAAATTCGTATGTCCCATTTCTGATGTATCCAATCCCACCTATTTTTTTGAGACGTTTCGGAAAAACATTCCGAATTTCGTAACATTGTTTTGACGACTTATCATCTCACAGTCGGTTTGATGATTGATTTGATCATTCGAGCTTTTTCTGCCACGTCATCATCTTTTTTCTTTTTTCTCTAGGTCTCCTCTCTTGTCATACAGTCTCGCTTTTCGATGGACATCCTCTCATAACACTATTTCAATTTCTCTAATTCTTTTTTCTCTCGGGTCCGTATAAAAGCCGCCTGGTTCGGTTCATTTCATATTTTTTCATTTTTCATTTTTTGAATCAGAAAATGATTCTGGAAGCCTATTTTGTTTCCGGCTCTTTGCGATCGAAAAATAGAAATCCGTATGAACATACATCTGGACATTTGGACAGACAAACACCTGGGTTCAAAGATAAGTGCATAGATGCACTTGCATCTAGGCTCACACGGACACAAGAAGCTGGGACAGTTGTACTGACAGACATCTGGACACACCGGCACCCAGACAAGCAGAAACATTAAATTATCTCCTTCAGACTCGTGCATCCACACACCGATTTTTTCGTCGGCATCTTTGAATGAGTCTTTTTTGCACACTTTTTCTTCTGCGCATTTTCACCCCCCCCCCC